AACAAAAATAAGCAAGTGCTTTGAAAAGACTCTAAGCGATTATGAGGACCTCTAGGAAATGAAAGTCTACTATCAAGATCAGATCTTCCATCAGGGCTGGACGTAATCCCTTCAGGATAAACCAGAAAAACATTAACAGGGCAACAGCATGAGAAAACACACTCTTTTTTTTTACTCCAGGATAGGATTTTCCCTTGTAGCCCATGACACTAAAGTCCAGCTGTCTAAGAAAAATACATAAATCAAAGAAGCCTAAATCTTAGTTCTGAGCTCAGACTGTGCCCAAACATTCCACTGGAAGCGGAAAACAGAGGACTAAACCTTTGATTTGTTGTCTATATTTGTAGTAACTATTCAGTTTTGCTTCATTTCACTTGCACATGTTTATGGAGGGTCCTCCTCTCTCTAACTGTCTTGAATAGATTTCAATATTGCCAAAGCTAACTTGACACATGTATTGCCACTAGTGTTCTTCTGGGAGGAATTCATAGCATTGCTCTCCTCACTTATGATGAAAACAGCAAAACATAGGACTTACCAGGAGGTAAAGGCATGCACATGCCATTTGCAGCTTCCAGAATTCGACTCATGATGTGGAACACTGCAAACTCTCCTGTACTTCCTCTCTCATCACTGTATTTAACAAAGTAGCAACATATTAGGAACCTGAGATGCCCACACTCTCCTGGAGATATGGTCAATTTGTTGTACTACATGTGCACTAAATGTATGCATTTTAGGTGAATTGCCATGGGATGCTATCTTGTTTGCTTAGTTGTCTGTCACCTAACAGCATTAGCTGTTCATCTAAATGTTGACACACAATGTCTCTGTGGTGTCCCCTTTCTCCTTACCCCACTACTGTGTATTTACAAGTCTCTCAGCAGTACCTGGTACAGCAACAGGTGAAATATTCTGAGTGCTGGTATAAGTGATCTGGCTTTTATAGGTGTTCAACACCCACTACCCAGCTTGAGACCACTGTGAACTCAGCAACTTTGAACTCCAGCAGTAAAACTGCCTATGCGATTAATACTCATGTTGGCTTACAGAAGGCCAGCAGGATCATTAAAAAGAGCACATGACAGTCACATTGACATTCATAGTAGAGTAAGCACTGACTGTTCAAGCAAGTAGTATTGCTGGAGACCAAAATTATTATGCCCGTATTTTAAAAGGCAGGCTGAAAACCTTAACAAATGACTTGCTCACAAGCAGAAGATGCAGGAATGAAGTTGGTATCTCCTCCAAACTTCTTTCATTATTCGATGTACCAGATTCAACTAAAACAAAAAAGAAAAGAGTGAATGTTTCTAGGAGCCTGTGTACAGCAGGCCCTTGACCTTCATTCATTTCACACACCAGTTTATGTTAAAAACTTATCATGAGACTATTATTAAGACTTTAGTATTTATCTTTTTTTTTCCCCCTAGGGGCTTAAAGCATAAAATGGATTAAAATTTGAATTGTAACTGAATTGCCCTATTCCAGAAGTTTAAAGTAAGTGCTTCCAGCTCATCAAAGCACTGTGCAAAATATGCAGCATCTTAACACGTCGTGCTTCTTGGGGATCAACTGAGCTCATGCTCTTGCATCAAGTTCTCAAAAATCTGTTTGCCATGAAAACAAAACCTGCATGTCCATGTGGCTAAGCATTTGGCAAGGAAAGGTCCCTAGGGCCCAGACAAAACTGGATGATGCTGGAGACAGCAGAATACTTAGTTTACTGAAAAAAGCCTGCAGGAGGAATCACGAATCTAGGCCTGGCAAGGAGGAAAGATGAGACAAGCAAATGCCTCTTCTCCTCTACTGAGTTTCCTTTTTGTCCATAGTGAAGTAAAACAATCCCCTGGCCCATGTTGTTGCTTCTCTGCACTCCCAGTCTGACCTCCAGTACAGACTGTCAGCATACAAAAGCCACAAGCCCTGTTCCCACTTGGGCCTTCTAAGCTTCTGCAGCTGAGAGAAACCATGCATAAAAAGAGTTGAAATAACTTCCTCTAGCTGGCCCCTCACGGTTGTCACGTGCAACCACTTCCATATCTCAGTATCAGAACTGAGAGACTTCCTCTATGCCTTTTATCTCTGGGGCTCAAAGCGCACTGATCTATCAATCCCAGGAAACTCTCGGAAAGCAAGTCTGACCCCTGTTTCACAGAAGTTACAAACCCTTTTCCCCCTAACGTCGCCAGAATCCAGGAATCCTTTTCTCCACTCTCTCTCTTTTCTCCTCATAGGCTCTGTCCCCTCCAACCTCTAACTTATCACAGGCTCCGAGCAAGAGAGAAACAGGACACAGAGAGGTTCTTATGCAAGGGTCAGAACAGGAATACTGGTTTTCAGTAATGCTCCTGAGTGCTGTCCTCTGTACCTTGGCCAAGGTACCTCTATGAGGTAGCACCTTTTCCCTCCACCACTCCATCCAGCCTTGCACAGCTACCTGACGCAGAATAACCACCTAATACTTTCCATCTTCATGTTTTCTGGATGCAGTGGAAAGCTCCAGTTTAATCTCTCTGGAGTATGGCAAGTTTTCTCCACTCATTTTCCAGGAAATGAGTGATTTCCAGTTTTCAGAGAAGGGTCACAAGAACCGCACCTGCTGCCGGAATGACTTTCATCTCTGGCCAGCACACAGGGTGCAGCTAAGGCCTCTGCATTAGGAGATACAGCTGGATCTGAAGATCAGGGCTGAGGTGAAGGGAAGCTCCTTACAAACTCCAGAATCACCTCTCATTATTTGTGCAACAAATATTGTTTTCATGGGTATGATACTCCAGAATCAATATTCTTTGCTTAACAATATAGCAAACTGAACGGCTTTTGCAGGGTATAGAAAGAGAACACCTTCTTAAGTCAGTGTCAACCTAGCTATCACAACAGACTTAAATCTTAAACACATGCATGCTTGTGACATGACACACTCACTAACAGCACTACTCACTTTGGAGATCAGCCATAATGGACATCATAGAAAATACATACAGGAAGAGAAGCCATATCCCAAACTTCTTTCAGTATATAACACACAGGACAACATGCATGAGAGAAAGGAAACATTATCTGTTTTGTAGAGGGAGTACAGGCAGCTTCCTCTCCAAGGCCAGTGGGTCTCCAGGGGAACAAAGTTAAGAGCTAAACCTGTACCTTCATGGCAAAGCCATTTTTCATTTAGTAACAAAGACGTACAATATGAGGTTTTTCTGGGCAAGTATCAGAAGCCATTTCCCTTGCCATGCTCTAAACTAGTGAGAGAAAACATGATCAACAGTCAAGAGTGCATGCAGCAGAGCCTAGGCTGACACTTGCAAAGCACCTTGCTGTCTTGAAACATCTGCATTTCCAGGCAAAGGTGCTGAGTAGACTGAAGTTCCACTAAAGTCATTTGGAACCACAAGTGTTCAGCTCCTGTGGCTGTTTCTACAGGAAAGACATGGAAGCAGCCAAAGAAAAGACTCAGAGGCAAAGGCGAACAGGGAGTAAGACAGGGTCTTGCTGTCTTCCAGATTCTCTCCTGTGCGGGGGATACGAGGCAGTCCTCCTCCTTCTGAGGAAGCTCAAATCCAAATGGTGTCTGTCTTCTATTCGTCTGCAGTTGAGACTACATCAGATGATAGCTAGCCACAGACATCAGCCAAAAAGGTGCAGCCACTGCAGCAACTTTCAGAGAAATTTCAAGTTTCTTCTGCTCTGTCTCTTTCTTGTGCCACAGGCTGTCTGTTCACTCTGCCTCCTCTTCCACTTGCCATCAGGGTAGCAAAGCACCCTGCTTCTGTAAGTTATTTCCCCCCTTCCCTGCCCTGCTGAAATTAAAAGAATGAGAGAAACAGATAGGTAGCAAAGCTAAGATAAAGAACTTGCAGGGCAAAGAGAATATGGACATACAAGCAATTACTGCAAGCTAGGTGCCATGTGAACTGGTAACGAGGCATACTCGGGCTCTGCAGACCTCCTTGGCAAACAAGAGAATTCCCAGTGAGACATTTCATTCACACTTCCCCACGTTACTTCTCTGTCTACAAATACACACACTTCCCTGACAGCAACCAGCTACTAGTCTGTTGTTTTATGAGGAACTGTTAATGCTCCCATGTCTTGGCTACTTCGACCTCAGCTGCAATTCATTCATACAGTGGCTACAACACCATGGAGCCCTATTCTCAGCCACTCCTTTGCTCCTGAATGTAATAAAAAAAATACTTTATGAAAGCACACAAGCAAGTCATTTCAAGTCTCTTCCTGTTTCATTAGTTTCAGTAGCTCAGCTACATGCTGCTGATGCTACAGAAAACTGTTGGAAGAATCAAAACAATTAATTCCCCTGAAGAACTTCCAAACATTTAGGATATAGAACAGTTTAAGAGTTTCTGACTAGGATGAGGGGAAACCCAAGCCTAACAATGAAATAATTTCTGAAGATTTCCAAACGGCACCTAAGATGTGCCAGCCAGAGGGCAGAAGCAATTTTTAGAGACATATTATCTTTGTTCATAGTAGTTTTTCCAAGAATGACAAGTCTGTAAATTGAGTTGACAGAATTCTTGCTTCTAGTGACGTTAAAAAAACAAAACAAAAAAAAATCCCAAGAGCTAAGAGTTTGCTCATGGGGAGAGCTGAGATTTGTTTTGATTTTAAGATTTAGTCTACAATAATTTAGTCTTGCAGATCAAGGCTGTATAGGTGTTTTAGTATTTTTTTAATCTTAGTTTATATTAAGAATGAACAAATGATAACTGGCAAATGAATGAAAGGAGAATAAACATTCCACTTTGCTTCTTTCAGCACTGTTTTCAGATACAAAGCTTTGGTTCATGCTGTACTGTTTCTACTTCAATCAGTCACTAGTTTTTCTTTCCTTCCTATAAAAGATACAGAAAATAGACAGCTGATTACCAGTAAAACAACTTCTCAAGCTATAGCAAGAGGCCTGAATAGAAAAGTCAGCAACTTCAGTGGAAGCTGCAGCAGTTCAGAGAACACTGTGACGTCAACAGCACAACTGATTTGCACAGGACTTCAGAAAAGATGCAGGCACCAGTAGCCTCAAGAAAGTTTCCTGAGACTTCCATCCCTAGAAAACAGCACTGTGGGGAGTTTCTGCTGAATCAGGTGACTGGGTGAGCGCAAAGCCAAAGAACATGATTTACTAGTTGCCATGTGAGCTCTTGTGGACTCTGCATTCTGCACTTAAAGGATCTGATGTTGAGACACACCAAACCAGGTATAATAATTTGTATGCAGAACAGTCACAGTTTTTACAGCTTTTTTTTTTAAAGTTTCTTTTAAGAGAATGAAAGACAGAAAATTAAGAACTTGGAAAGCAAGTTTTCCTTGTAGTTCATATGGATTTCTTCAGGCAAAACTCTGCCTCCTGTTACACTCACAAAAAGCCCAAAGTCAGTATGTAGGAGTATTGAAGAGAAACCTTTTTCTCTTAATTTGTATTTCCCCTGATGGCCCTTTCATTACTCAAAACATGTAGCAATGTATTCTACAGGAAACAAAATGGATCTAAAGACCATTCTTTCAACTTTCAGGATGAGTTCACATTTTCAATTCTGGGAGTAGGCCATATGTGTACAAGCTGTAAAGGGAACTGTTAAGGGAACAGTTTCTCCTGTATTCTGAGTGACCAACACAACTCTCTTAATATTATTTACTTCTTAATATTATTTAAGTATTATTATGTCCTTTACCAATATAAACAATATTATGCAGCAAAATATGGTTAAACATCTTAAAAACAATCTCCTCCCACCAAACATACACTATATACACACAATACATACCTAAGACCCTCCTCACCAGCAAATACATGCTTGCTCAAAATAGTGACTTAAAAAAATCTTAAAAACAATCTCCTCCCACCAAACATATGCTATATACACACAATACATACCTAAGACCCTCCCCACCAGCAAATACATGCTTGCTCAAAATAGTGACTACGAAATCAAACTAACCAGGTTTGCAACATAATCCAAAACTATTTGGTCAATCTTCTTTTTTCCTACATACTGTAGATGTCTCATAAGGTGATCCTTTAGCTGAGCAACCATCTAGAAAAAAAGCCAACAATTCAGTGTCCTTATGGCATCTTCAAAAAGATGCAAAAGCTCCACCAGGTTCAGGGACCGATCAATACAAATTAGCACAACAAAACTTTCCCAGTTACAAAACTCCAGTTCACAGTGAGATCCCAAGCTACCATACAAGCTGGCTGAATTCAACAGCAGATCTCAATACGCAAAATGGTTACTTGGTGCAAATTCAGCAAAATAAGTGCTAAATTAAACTTGCAATGACATTGAATAGAAAAAGTTTACAGTTCTTACATCTCTCTGGGTGAAGCAAAGTGAACAGGGTGAAAGAAGGATTTTAATATGAACACTGAATCCTGAGAATATAAGTATTTATTACATACAAATAAACCTGAGGGATTTTACGATAGAGAACTAGCACAAGTACAGTTCTACAGTTCTACAGTACTAGCCAAGAACCTGAGAACCTGAGTGATTAATGGCAACTTCAGGTTAAACTTTAATTGTAAATTCTTCAAAATCACGTTTCTTATCACAGTCCCTACCCTCTCCTTTCTGATGCTGGGTTTTTTTTCTGAGAATTACTATGAAGTGTTATTTGTTTCAAAGCTCAGAGAAAAACTGAGGCAACTAAAATCTCTGTCTCAAGCAGTTGACAAGTAGATTAATCTCAATGTGTCAGGACAGCAATATAGGTATTAGGAAAGCATAGACAAAGGATAGCAGTGACCTACTTTTTGGATCTGTCTGAATAAACCACAGGAAAGGAATGTAGAGAAGCTTCAGAGAATGAGAGGCAGAATTTGGAAACACTGGGACAAGACTGCAAAGAATGAAAATCTGCCTTAGATTTGGACAGACAGGACAGTGTTGACATGCTCTTCACAGATGCAGTGCTGAGACCTTCCAGTGCATGCTGAAGAGTTTTATTTGGTTTTAATAGCAAGAGAAAAAGAGATAAGGGAAGATGTGTATTTAGACAGAAGGAGGACAGGTAGGGATTTGAGATAGGACTTATTGCCCAGAAGCATAAGGATGGTAGATCCTTTGGGGAAATGTTCAGTGAAAACTGTACAAAAGAGGAAAGGACCTCAGAATAGCCATAGCAGTCCCAGAAGTGAGGTAGAAGGAAAAGGAGACAGTAAAAAAGGTGTTAAATTGAGGAGCAAGAAGATCTGTGATCTTCTCTTTGAGGGAAGAAGTAGATGGGGAATTCACCTATACATGTTTTAAGTAGCCCAAAAATAACTGACAGATTAAGATGAACTCCAGAAGGATTGAATAACAGTTTCTAGCCAAAGAAAAGTGGTATGCAAAAAGCATTTTGCTAAATCAACTTTCCATTGCTGTTTTTCCCTGATGCCTTATGGTATCACGACCTGTTAAGATGATATGATATCATGACTACGAACTCTAAAACTTAGGAAATACCGTGTTTGTTCCACAGCTACTTTGAGTGAGCTTCTACTCAGCACTGGAACTTATAAAGCTTACTATTTACATTTGTTGAGGTTGCGCGCCCTCTAGTGCACACTGTGACAAAAGCACATACCAGTCCCATTAGTAATTGCTGCTGATAATCTTCCTCTTGAAAGAGAGGTACTAGCCTTTCCTCTGAAATAAACAGAGCAAGAATCATTCAAGGACATGACACTATAGAAATACCACGAGACTTCAACCAGCTTCAAAAGTACTTAGAAACATACACAAACAAACAGAAGTTGTGGTGTGATCTACTCACCTACAGGACTAAGGTACTGAAGATTCAAGGACAGCGTAAAAGAGAACTGAGGAATGGAAAATAACCCCATATCTGCCACCTTCTCCCTCAAGTGCTTAACACTGAGCATAGAGGAAACACACGCCTACCACACCACTTCACACTTCATTTGCATTACTCTTTTCTTTGATATTTAAGGGAGAGTTATCACAGGGTGGTGATTCAATAGAGCAAAGAGGCTTGGAGAACCTTCTGGTAACACCAGTGCAAATGCATATGCTATTTAGAACTTGTCATTTACAAACAAGCAAGCCAAAATAGCTACATGGGTTTTCCAAAGAAATGGCTAGACACAAAGTAAACACTCCACAGAATCACCTCCCACTTTCCTGGTTCTCTCCCATGCTCCGTCTGCTTCTGTTACTCAGATTTGCAGACCACTATGTAAAAGAACACAAATTTTCTAACTAAATGGAAGGAGGTTATAGTATCTAGTGAAATTTAATACCCTGTATTTCCTAATCAGTGCTTCCTGTCTACTAACAAAGGAAGAAAAACAATCTCCTATTTCATCATGTAGCATAAAATCAAGTCAACATTTTACAGATGCAAATGCTAAATTTTTTACAAAGTTCTTTCCAGCCATCTTTGCTCACCTTGAAATATATTTACTGCACCACTTAGGAGCACAAAAACCTGTGTTGCTTGATTTTGAAGGACCTGAAGAAAAATCTACAGGGAAGATATACTATATTGATGCTTGTCACCAGCTGGCAGCTATCTAGAAATCCTCTAGTAGCAGTTAAACATCTGACTTCTTTATCAATAAACACCTTTGGAAAACATAAATCTGAGGCTAGCAAAGTTGACAGAAGGTCCCTCAAAGTCCGAGCCCATAGCAATAACCAGCAGTGGCGCAGATGACCGGTGTTAGGGGCTGGAAATGAATGCACTGAAAATTCTCCATAATAAAAGGAGCGAGCAGCACTTATATCAGCATCACTTCACAGCGCACAGTGGCAGGGCACATAGAAGGCACTGATATGCGAACAGCTGGAACATAATTTACTACTAAATTCAGTTTCACTTATTTGTGACAGAGGAACTGACCATCACAAAATCTCAAGCATTCCTGGCCTAGGGAAATTCATTATATGTTTGCTTTCTCTACACCACAATTTTTCACCAGTCAATCGCCTACTGTACACAAGTTCTATAGTTGCAAAGGCAGCTATAAGTGGACAAGACTCAACAGTAACATGGTGTCATTGATACTCTGCTCCAGGAGAAAAATCCTGAAGAAATCCTTAGGCAGACAAAGGTTTACTGCTTATGTTGTTAGATCCAATACAAACTAGGAAATTTTCAAAGACTTCCTAGTCACTATATGATCCTACCACTACTATCAGAGAGAAAGTTATCCTCTAATTTAATAACCACTCATCTTAATGCCTCAAACTCTTCAGTGCTGAAAACACACACAGCAATTTATTTTTAGCCAACAACAGTTAGATGGAAATATTCTAATCAACCTTACAGCTAAGGCCTACATCAAGACAAGTTTTACTTACCAGAGTCCCAAGTGTTCAGATGAGAAAGCACCCTGGGTTTTGAAACAAAAATCAGCTTGTTTCATATGCATTACTCTAAAGGATTTCATAATGACATTAAAAAGCTTAAATGACCCTTTGATCTTTCAAAGACAGCTAAAGAAATCCAAGAACTGTACATGTGACTACATTTAGTAAAGATATTAAATAGCATTAAAAGAAGTTCTATCTGTCTGGGTTGCATAAGAATAACTCTTCATGTCTACCATAAATTCCCTAGCTCTAGAGGCCTGGATATTTCAGATCATGCTGTAGAGATTACAAGGATTCCAATAATTGATTTTCAGCTGGATAATCTTCTTTAAGATACCTAATCAGATACATAGTCAACTATTGAAATGGCACATTAAATTCTTCAGCATAATTCAAAAAAACAAGAAAGGGTAAATATAAAATGGTACCTACTTTTTGGCATTTTCAAAAATATTCCTCAAATATGCTGTGGTTCTTCTCTCCTCTCCCTAGTTTGTAAACAAACAAAAACCCCCAAATGAACAAACTAGAAGGCCAATTAAGATACTCTGATAAAATGCAGATGAGAAATGAAGCTGGTTTTCCCTTTGAATGGAAATAATGCACAGTGGGGCTTCAACCCACCTTCCAACTACCCATGCTCATAGGCACTCACACACATCTAACTTACATGACAATACAGCTACATACAAGTTCTGCTTTTGTTTAGTTTCTTGCATTAACAGAATAAGACTAACAGGCAATCACCTTATAAGTAAAATGACTGCAAATCTTTGCCCTTCTCATAACTAGATTCCCATTTCTTTAGCCCCCAAATGAAAAAAGCTAACTCTTCTGTGTTTGGCTTTAAAACATCCACTTCAGAGGCAGCTGTGGAGACCATTTCAGTGCATGCATATTTACCTCTTCAGAAAGATTACGCCATTCCCTCCTGAGCACATTATTGTGGTAATGCAAGTGTGGCTCTGCATACTTCACGCTCTCCAAGTTTGAGTTGAGTTTCTCCCAGAAGCCTTTGGAGTTTTGGAACTGCAAGTATTGCAGGGAAAGCATGAATAACAGGCTGCACTCTTAAAGAACTACCTAATCACCCTCCCACTGAGTGGTTGGAAAGAAATGCAATTAATGTAGCTTCATAACAAAGTGAAAAAAGTTAAACAAAAGCAGTTACACTATTTTTCCAGTACTTTAGTTTCCTTGATTTGCCAGCAGGGGTAGCACTTACTTAAATGTGAGGTCAAAATTTGGTGCCTGTAATGCAGATACTTTGCCACCTCAGGATCCTTTTATGTCACTGAGAAGAAATGAGTACTTACAGGTCATAATTCATCTGACCTGTTTCAGATGTTTGGGATGGGATGGGATGGGAAGAACTGCACCACAGACTACACTGGCCATATTGTCTAGACTTCCGCTGACTGTAAAAGGAGCCTTAGGCAACTGACTTAAATGTAAATGTTTACATTTAGTCAAACCCCATTCCGGGTTTCTAGTAGTTCCAAATAGAGGAACACCAACATGACCCCAGCAGCTGCAGGCTGCCACTATTTTCAAGCTGCATTAATACTTAAATTGCAAACATCCAACCTCAAGTAACAGTGCCTCATCCCAGAAAAGAAACAAAATCCAAACATTTCCATAGCAATTCTAAAGCCTTTGACTCTAATACTGAAATTAATTTAAACTCAGCTGTGAACAGACAGGAGGAAAACACAAACAAACACACACTGGTTTCCTGAGCTAGTTCTTGGACTGGGTATAAAGATTTGAAGCCACTGTTTATAAAAGGGGAGTGATGTGATCGCTGCTGAGTAAAAGATGAGATTAAGGCAATTATTTTTGGCAGTTTTAAGGAAGAAGAGATGTCACTAGCTGTTCTTGCATCTCTTTATATACATTTACCTTCCCATACAGACACTACAGTAGTGACATTTTTAAGAAAGTTTGAGTTCACAACATTCCTCCATCTTGCATTAACATGTTGGATTTTGCTCTCTCCCCTACTTCTCTACAGTGACAATAACTTTAGAAGAAAACATCAGAAGCCTTTAAAACCACTTCCTACTATAAACTACAATTTGCCAAGGAAAATAAATTGCAGAGATTCAATCCTGCCAGCCGCTCCTCTCTTGCTGCCAGTGCTGATTGTTGCTTTATTGTTGTAGCTCCAGCAGAGAAAAATAAATCTTTTTTTGCTTCATGTTAGTTATATTTAGCAGCTGGAAACTAGGCACCATATGTTCAACCTGCTGGAGCTAACTAAAAAGATCCACAACCTACTACTGCAGTATGTTGCCTAAGTATTACCAATATGAAATCAGAGAAGTACCAATAATATAGCGTAAGGGTATCATCTAGTGACCAATTTATGCAACTGCGACAGCACCACCACTGCAAAATTACATTCAGGCCACACTGGATTTTGTTTGATGTGTGGTAGTGGGGAAGCAAGACAGCAAGTTTCTTTCATATACTGAGTCTGCAACAGGAAGTGGTAGACTTCAGAATTAAAAGCAGACACCACTGAAAACCTGCACCATATTAGATCTCATTAAAAAGTCAAAAGTTTAAAATAAAGGATTATTTTAATTATAGATGCTATTTCTTGAGGATCACCAGGGCAAGGACTAGAAAGAGAAGGCTTCTTCATCTTAGGTGGTGTTTATTTTGCAGACATTTCTAGAGAGTCAGGAATTAATACCTAAGCACGAACACCTAAAAGACATTCTATTACCAGAAGTCAAAGCAAGGCCTTACCAGGTTGCAAGAAAGGCTCCCACAAAGCCCTTCCTAAGTAGTATTGTTTTAACTGAAGACAGAGAGAGCTCTCTGCTACACCCGTCTGAAAGGACACAGGGTACCAATGACCTTTAAGAGACACATGTGCTCTCCCTGGGAACTGTAGTGCTATGCGTCCCCAGCAGTGAAGGTATTTGGAGAGCCATGTAACTAACTATGTAGCTACACAGGCACCTACTCCTTAAAACATCACTCTTCACCCCAGTGGCTCAGCACAGCATGGGGGAGAGGCTGCCTTTTCCTGCGCTGGTCTCTAACTGCTTGCACTATACATCTTCACTCTTCTCCTGGACCTCCTATTTTCTTCCCTTCTTCCTCCTGCCCTTTTCCTTCTCCCCTTCTCATCAAGCCTATGTGCACCCCTTCAAGTTTGGTTTCTGTGTTTAAAGAGAAAAAAAACAAAACAAAAACAACGGACTCTTATTAATTACAATCCTTATGTAAAGCTTTTTGACAATCAGACTCTGACTGTTCCCCCTTTCTCACAGACTCTCTCAGTATCTCCTGCTGAACAGGAATTTAGTGATAAAAATACACCTGTTACCCAAATAGTGCAATTTTTGTTGTGAATATGGACATAGCCCTCCCAAAGGCTCTCAACAATTCATGGGCTTGAGAACTCCAAAAAGCTTCTCAGAGCAACAATTCACCATTGTTTCTGTGAAATGCTATAAAATCTTTGCAAAAAAAGTACTACTTATAGGACCAGATTGGTCACCAGGGTCTGACTTGCGATGCCAACAACATGCAGCAGCTGAAACCCCAACAACTGGCCAGCTGAACTCGAGCTATGGTGGGTTTGTGTCACTGGAATGGTACAAAGCAGCCGAAGCACTAAACCTTACCCTGTGTATTATCATCTTTGTCCTCACTCAAGAGTCAGAGCAATTTGCAGTCAAAAGTAGCAGGAAATATTTGTCTTTAGTTCAACTCTGACCTTTTCAATCTGTTTAGGTTTCAGACAGAAATAGGAAATGAGTTCCACAATCAGGAAGTATAGCTGCTAAAGGCATTTGCCCCCAGGGACTTGAGGTTCAATCTCAGACAAATTAAAGGCCTGCTAACTTTGACCTCAGTGAATTACAGGGATTATCTAGCAAAAAATTTTCTCAAGATCTGATTTTCCCGGGTGTCCCAGCTCTCAGGGCAGCCTCCTCAAGCAAAGCATGCAAAGCCCGATTCCCTGACAGCAGCCATGTGAATCTGCAGCAGCACTGCTGTGATGCTGCATTGTGGAGTGAGTAAGCAGTGGGTAATTTCACTGATTTTAAAAGATTTTGTGAATGCTGAAGTTTTATGAGCTAATTATAAGCACTGGGGAAGAAAACAGACTCTCACCTCTTTAAAGTGCTACATGAAACAATATTGTCATGTATCCAGAGCCTACTCCCACGTGTTCCTGGTACTCTTGGGTTCGAGCTCTGGCTTTTCCCATTAGCCCTTCACAACAGGCTGCTTATTAAAAGCCTCTTTCAGATTTTGTAGGGGAACATGTAGGAAAATTTCAAGTATTTCTCTGAACTGGAGCTGAGGGAGTGGAATGGAAGAACGGGAAGAATCATTCATGTTGTTTTCAATGGAAAGTACAATTTCCTACCCAAACAGCATGTGCTCTCCCCATCCAGCTCACTACCTTTTCCAGGCCGTGCAGGAATTTGTCTAGATTTAGGTAGCCAAAGACCTGACATCAGTGCAATCACATGATGCTCTGGACAAAACAAAGTGAGAGGGTCGTGAACCACTGGTACCAATGGCAGCACAGTGAAGTATCTCTCAAAGTGGATATACATAGACATATGTAGAAATCCTACACATCTGTTGTGCCAAGTTTACCTCCAGCTAATGAAGACACAAAATGAAGAGATATCAATCAAATCTATCAAGAATTAATTCTTGGAAGACCTTCCCCGTTGAATGGAAGACGGCTCTTCAGAAAAGTGAAAAAATGCATCTTTGAGCAAGCAAGCATCAGTCTGAATAGCTGGTATTTTAGTCAATGCATAAGACATTTCAAACAGGGCAATGTTCTATTCATTTGGATAGAGCTGTGGGGACACTGCTTCATTAGTATTTAGCACACCCGCACCCCACAAAAAAAAAGCTCCTAACCTGCAAATATGAATGTGGTTTCATACTGGAACTTACCTCCAACACTGGTAGAGAAATAATTTCTGTTGCACATGTTACTCCAGGAATAATCTATAAATACAGATAAGAATACAAATCATTTAGCAGAAAACATGGGCCCGTTCAGGTATCTAAGTGAATCTCCATTACCTATTTCCTTTGTGAAACTAGCTAGCTAGCCAAAACTGTACATTCAGTTTTGCCAAAAAGAAACACAGAAGATGTTTCTCTCATTCGTCTCACTTAAAAAAAGATAACAAATTAGAACAGTGTCGGATCAGAGAAATTAAAATAAGCTATTTGCTCTAACTGTAGGCTCTTGCCTGAAGTTATTTTACTTCTGCAAACTTATTCATAAATCTTAACTCTACTGATACTGTTTGTCTTGGAAATAACTGCATGGTTTTGCTTGTTAAATATATTTTGTATTCATTATAAACCTCATACGATAAGCAATAAATTAATACCTCACTATGAAAACCGAAGGATTTAATCACCCATTCCATTATAGTCGCCGTTCTTGTTTTAGAAATGCTTTTATTTGTTGACAAAAACAAATGGGACTCATGGAAAACACCACTAAGGTTAAGACTTGACAAAATAAAATGGGCATAAAGCACAGATATGGATTTAGAGCATGTCTATGAAAAGATAAGACAATCAAGTTAAAGGAGAAAAAATAAGACTCCTCCTAGCTATTAATTAAAGTACCAGTTGTTATCTTACCCCAATCCAGTCAAGCAGTGACGTGTAGGGCAAAAGTTTATCCAGGTTGTGAGTTTCTGGACACATTCTGCAGTACAGGGAGGCTGAATGCAATGCAAAAAGTTTTTTAAGGGCAAGATTGTATAAACTATCAGTTAACAAGAGCAGGCTTCAGTCAGTTCCTTATCTAACACTTTTTTAGGGACAAATCCTGCTGCTGTCTCTGAAACAGCTTCCTCCATGGTGGAACTGGTCCCATTCTGTGCACAAAAGGAGGAAGAGAAGTCCAGATGGCTGCAGGGCCAGGTCAGCTGCTTGGCTACAGCTCAGCACTGCAGGGGTCCTTTGTACAAAGGCTCAGGGCACAGGACATGCACCGGTTAGGCTGAGGAATCAGCTATTAGAAGAGAATATCATGATATACCAAATCCTTATGAAAAAATGGTTTGGGCTGGGCTAGAGGAGATTTGTTCCTCCACTCCAAACTCAATTATTTACATCCCAGATATCCAAGACAGCAGCCAGATGGAGAATTTGCTCTCCAGTGACCTAAAATAATGATAAATCTATTTGTCCCACTAGACAGAATAATGCATTTGAAAAGTTTTACTGCCAATCCAATTTTGAGAGATCTATGTACCTTCTAAACTACTGATATTGTCTCTAACACCACAAAATGCAGGTCAGTTAACATAAATCATAACCAGAAAGTTTGGAAAGAAGAGTTAAGTTTGTGACATTGTGGCTTCTCCTTGAGTCACAACTAGGGTATGCGGGAAAATTCAGCATGCGGGAAAAGAAATACCTACCAATGATAAATTCTTGAATGGGGTCAAAAGAATGACATGTTGACAGGTTCTCAGAAATCCACCAAATAATCTGTCAGAATGAAAATGTGGGAGTTTGTCACATCTCTCTGTTTAAGCATGTGTTGTAAGAGACTGTAGAAACTTTGGTTTTGGTAGCAACACTTTGCATGAAGTAGTGATAGAGAGATAAATGTTTTCAGGACAGCCGTGACCCATAAAGCAGTTTGGGCAGCCCAGCTGATGAGCCTCATGGCACTGCTAAAAGGTACATATGAATGAGGACTTTTCTTCTTTGGCTGGTATCATTTATGCCCTGACCCTGCTTTGTATAAGACATCAGTCACTGAAAAAACTTAAGAGGAGGGTCTTTTCCCACCTGCATTTCCAAGTCTTCTGTGTGTTGGAAGTACAACAGAGCACAATGTAGAGCTGCCAATCTCTCGCTGTCTCGTTTGCTGTTCTGTAGGAACTGTAGTAAGGCACTGTCACTGATGCTTACAGCATACATACTTCCTACGTGGCAATCCAAGACTGTTGACACAAGTGGGGATCGGATGGAGCAGTTTTGCAACATGTCAATTCTTGCATCCTCACCTGAAGAACATTGGTTTGAGAATAAAAAGGACTAAGAACATAAAATTTGGCTGCTACCAGTATTTCTCTTCAGATTCCCAGGTCCCCAGCAGTAAGAAACAGTCTGTCTCTTGTACTAGCTGCCCTGGCATTATGCTGAAGAGGAGGAGGAATGGTGCTGGCTGGGCAAAGGAAGTAAGTGAGGAACACAGTCCATACTCAGTTCTCCCCTTCCCTACTGCTGAAGCAGAGAAGGTGTACAGATTTGAGGCTCAAAATGCCGTCATAGGGCAAATCAGAGTACATAGGATGGAACAGAGAAAGGCACAAGTAATGGAGATTCAGTGCTCAAATTAGCACCTAAGCGTATTGGTACAGTTCAGAACTGCTCACATGCAGAATCATGACACACACTTACATTGGTGGATCTCTTACCATCAATCCCAGTGGCCAGAACAGGAAGGTTCTACTCTATGATTACTGATTGAAGCATCAGATCAAAACCACTTTATTTATGCTACCACTAAGGCTCACCACCACACTACTACACAGTAGGATTCCAGACCCTTTGCATAAGAGAAATCAGGCCCATCATACAACAGTGATGCTTTCCACTCATTTCTAGCAGAATAGTATTTCATTATGTATATACAACAGTTATTAGCTTCCTGTGATGCTATCCCTGTACCAGTTCCCACTACTTACCTCTCCTTCATCCAGTCAGAACAAAGGCCCCCCACTTCCAAAAATAACCCACTTCCCACAAAGACACGTTTGTTGGAAATGAAATAACGTGCCTCTCAGATGAGACTAAATCAAATTGCATCAGCCTGATCAGGTGAAGGAAACACAGATTTCCTCTCCCCACACCCTCCAAACACACACATTTAGAGCAACTCAATTGGAGGAAGGAAATGTAAAATCAAATTTACATCTCCATGTGAAATTTGAGAACAGTGGAGGACGGAGAAGCATGTGCAAAGATGGGGGAAGGGAAACTATGAAACCAAGGCAAAGAATTTCAAATTCAGTGAAAGGTCTTCCATTTCATAACAAACTAGAAGTACGTAATAGATGAACTATGAAGTGTCACTTCAGATTCTTTTCAAAATGGAAAGTGGCAAAACCGCCATTCTTATTTTTTTTCAATCTCTCTCCTCCTTCAGAACACGTGCCAAAAAGCAAACATTGAGAAATACAACTTTCATGTAAAGAGATTTGAACAAATTTCTACTACAACAATAAAATTGCTTCAAGCAGCAGTCTTACTGTACCTGTCAGAAATAAACTATAGCACAGCAGGTCAGGATGCTGAATATTCAGGAGGTGCAGGAACTGGCCAGGCAAATAAGCAGCCACATAATTGCCTATTTAAAGAAATAACAGGGGTCAGTTCAGCACTTGTTCACTTATTTGCTTTAAGAGGCTGTTTCACGATTCTCATCTTGCCCACTTCTCTCTGATGGAATTAATTATATCTAGGAAATATAAAAGGAGTTAATTAAAAGCTGCTGTTTTATTAACACAGGAAACGCTAGCAATACATTTGGGTTTCCAGGGGAGGATTCAAGAGGCTTTGAGACAGTCAAGAACTCAGCAGCTGATCTCCAGAGCAGATTCTAAGGCAGTTTCAGAGGAAGTTGCTTACTAATAATGAGGTATTGCAGTATCAAATGCCAAATATAAAAGTTAAGCAAAAAAAGCAGCAAAATAACGCAACTACTTAAAGTCAAGAAAAAAAATCCTTTCCTTCTAGAGAAAGGTTAGCCATTTGTCTCCCTACTGGGGACAGAGAATGGCAGTCACACAGGGAAGTAACACAAGTAACCTACCAAGATTCATAAAAGCCACTTCCTTCAATTGATGAGATTCTGTTCTTTCTAGAGAAACTGTAAAAGTTTTGTTGTAACCTGGGGAAAAATAATAATACCTTTAAAAAACCCAAACAATAAACACCATCTGTTACAAGCCAAGTATGACTTTATAGCTAGAAACCTCAGCAGTGCCAATACACCCAAACAGGGATACTTTAGACTGTTTTACAGGCTTGTCTGCACAGACAGATTTACTTCATCCTAAATAGAGTTGCTGCGTACTTAGTAGACCTGCACCCACACAATGCAGTTCTTCAGTATGCGGAAGCTGGCCACGCACTACACAGCCTATGTTTGTGTTTAAAGAACCATTCCATCCCAGTGCAAGTTTGTGTAAAAATACCTCTCCCCCCAAAAACCCCAAACAAAAATCCTTCACGTAGCCGTGCTTCACATTTTGGTGGTCTTTCAAGTGCTTTAAAGAATTTCCAGTTTCTTTATCTGCATGCCCTATTGCTGTAATTTAGTTCCACCCTGTTTAAACATATGATTGGCTAATTTCAGACATGCTGTGTTTGCATGGGCTTTGCATCAGCACAGCTGTTATTTTATTCTAGACTTGCACCATATTTCTTCTGGCATCCAGTAAGAGCCCTCAAACTTCCTCAATCTGAGAAAAGCTGAAGATTAACGTAACTAAGGAGACAATGACTAGCCTCCAAATGTCCATGCTGCAGTATCCTAAAGGCTGAATGGTGTCACAATCAGGATGCTACTTAATACTGTATGAACATTCAAGATAAGATGATAGATCCACAGTTTACAGGACCACTAAGGAAAAAAGTAGATCAAAAGCCATGCTCCAGTCACTCATCCAGGACTTTGATTCCTGACCCTAGCACAGACATATGCCTTATCTATGCTGCAAAAAAAGAAAAATGAGACCTCCAAAGACCAACAGCAACACTACAGATGAAGGGGTATCTAAAACAAATGGTTTTCACACAAGATACTGACTGAAGCTTGCTTGCAATAAGTCAGTATACTCATGATCACCACCCTGTTACTTGCCAATGCAAACACATGCAAGCTAATACTAGCAGAGCAGAATACACCTGCAACACCATGACTTTTGTGTTTATGCTATACCAAATGACTGCTTTAACAGGGGGCAGGAAGCTTCCTTCCAAGTTTACAGATGCTGCGGCACAGACTGAACTCCTTATGTGTCTCCAAAATGTGGCTTATGGGCCTGATATACCGCTGCTTCTGCGGGTCACCTCAGGACCAGTCTTACATCAGTCGTACGAGAGAATTTTATCTTACATGAATCCACAAACAGCTCTGCACCAAACAACTCCATTCCATGAAAGTCATTTCAGATGCAGCTGGTCAATGTCACCATATTTATCCTCAGTTTCTTCCTGGTACAGATAGGGATGTACAAGGGCCATGGTTGGCTCCAAGCAATGCAACCACCCTTCAGCTACACATCAAGTGCATCTGGGGAGATCAGCCCTTCATTGCAGTACAACGCAGAGTGCTGCCACACCCAGAATGGACTTTTCCAATTTGTTAATGCCTTCAAGAACACAAAAATGCAGTTCATTCAATCCCACAACGTTCTAGCAGCAAAGCAACATGTTAGTGCAGCTCTGACATATGAAAAGTTTCTTGACATAAGAAAGCAAACACTTAAAGTAAAACAGAGATATGTTATCCACTTGAACAGTTATTCCATACTATGCAGCTTCTCAATTGAGAAATAATTCACCTCTCTCCTCCATGTATCAAATAAGAAAGATCATAGAATCATAGAATGCTTTGGGTTGGAAG